AAAAAAAAAAAAAATCCTTTTTCATCGTTCAGTATTTTTGATTAGACTATAATTCATAATGTGTTATTGTTTTTTCCTCTGCGTGTATGTGAACTATATCCTAATGTCTAAACTAAATATATCTCTAACATTGGACATGATATAGTTCTTTATAAACAAAATATATATTTTTATTTTATTATATTAATAATGTATAATATAGATTAGTGTGTTGTTTTATGGTAATATTATTTTTGATAACTCGATGAAAGGTGCCAATAAAAAGAAAATAACTTTATACAAATAAAGTAAACACATATTCTACCCAAATGTTCTTTATTTATAAAAATCCTTTTTTATAAATCTATCTATATATATACGTATATAAACATACATAAGTAATAGAATGGATTCAAATATGCCGCGTAAATAATTACTACGTAGTTCAGCAATGTCTAAGGTTTAATGTTACTAACAAAATTAATATAAATGATATTTAATATTATTTAATTGATTAATGTTAAATGTTATTTAACGATATTTATTAATATTCATAAATTATGGCATTAAATAAGAATGGATTACATAATATGAACAATTTCAAATATGTTCCGACTTGAAGACTACGTAAGTCAGACCAATCAAATGCTCCCATTTCAAAAAACAAAATACCCTCTTAAACAACGCTAGGTATATTACAATTTCCAAAGAAATGAGAAGAATTAACGCAGTATGAAGAAAAGAAGAAGAACAATGAAGAAAGAAAATCAAAAGTAAGGTAATAAAAAAAGAACCTAGTTGTACTGAATTGTCTCCATTATAATGGAGTGATTGAGCAAAGTGTAAGTAACAAGTGACAAATTTGTATTCTTAGCGCCATGATCGTTTATAATTTAAACGGCGAGACGTACGATTCAGATTAAAGTGTAAAAGGGCGCGCGTGCGCGCGCGCATTATGTCGTAACTCGGTCGGAAATATTCTTTCTCTATCGCGCTTGCTCGAGTTACATTTGTCCCTCTTTCTCTTTCTCTTTTTCTTTCTCTTTCTCTTTCTCGTTCTCTTTCTATCTTACTTATTTATTTTCGCGCGCGCGAGTTTGAGAGTTCTGAGTTTTCGCAGAGAGGGTAAGCTGGCCGCCGCTCCAATGACGATTAAGTTTGGTGTCAACAAAAAGAGCCAGTCTATTCCGTCAATCGTACGCTATCGGTAATAATCGGCGTCGATTAACACGTAGGTAATTTATTTTCTTATCTCGCGTTAATTTTTTATATTTTATTTTTGGCTACGGGCTATTAATAAATATACTTTTATATTTTTTTTTGTTTTTTGTTTTTCTTTTGCGTTTATTTAATTTCTATCTTTGTCACTTTGTTCTCCCTTTTTTATCGCACGCACGGTTTGATTGCCCGCGTAATTGACGTACTTTCAAACGTATTTGAGTTTTTGGCAGTTTTCTTCTTCTCCTTTTTTTTTTTTTTTTTTTTTTTTTT